ACTTTACACTTGCTCGTTGTTACCTAAATTTACTCTTAATGGCAAATATATTTAGCTAAGGTACCATACTAAAATTATACGGCGAGCAAAATTAATCGCGTCCGGGACATCTGGAAACCCTAATCGCAGAGTCAGCGCCCTAGTAAGCGTGGATTCATTAAAAGGACGGTAAATCGTGATGCAGGGTTTTCGTGCGTCCTTCAACATTCGTGGTAAAACTTTCGCTGAGACACGCTTGATGTAACAGGTTTGACTTAATTGTTGATAATTTGTTCCCTGTAAACGAGACACTTGATCCTGGCCCTCAATCTGCTCAAATTACAAAATTTACATTTTGACGACAAGATTTAGGAAAAAAAAAAAACAAAATATCAGTACAAAAAAATTGGTAATAAAAATGCATTGCTGTCATCCTTGTTATGGTACGAATAATACTCGACATTTTCGCTACTTGACAAGTTGACAGTAGAATATTTAACTTGACAAACATTTTTGGTGGCGACATTTGTTTTCATTGTCTTTGGGGGTTTGCTACGAGTACCTAGTAATAGATGACTGCTTGTAGATCAAAATTACTAGATTCAAACTCTTCGAGTCGATAAAATTTATATATCAGAGTAGGTCAAATTCCCCAGTTTTAGAGGCAATTATAAAACAAAGTACCTATAATAACGTAAGGGGAGGAAATTCAAAATACTGCGTTATATATAGACTGCTTAACTAGAGTAGGCTAATATCGTCCTCTTGAGGAATCTTAAAACAAGTGGTAAATTAATGATTTGTTATAAACAGGTATATTGTGTCTTTTAAAACCGCTGTACTGGTGAAAGTGAAACAAGGCAAGACCGTAGAAATTAGTTATAGGTATATAAAAGTTCAAATTTTATTTAATTTTTGTATGATAATGACGGTTTGTGGGCCTGAATTCGTTGGTCGCTCGTATGTTAATTTGGCCAAAGTGTGATATTCAAATGAACTCAGAATACATTGGCCCTTTGTTAGATATTGTAACAAGGGACGGTTGACGGTCCACCATGTTATTCATTTACTTAGGTTTCACACCGGACCAAAGCGATTTTAATATTATTCGTTATTATTTATAGGCAGTGCATAAATTGCATAATTACAAAAATAACTTGATTTCGAAAAACGCATACCTAAATAATAAATATTAAGATACATTTTGCTATAGCAGACAAAGCTAAAAACTTATGTAAAATTAAAATGTCACGCCTCGTTGTGTCAGAGTACTTGAATGAAAGGAATCTCTTTATTGTTCCCCTCAAAGAAAGATACAGTTACATAAAATATGTAGACAAAAAGAACACATTACAAGAAGCAAGATAAAGTGGCAACAATGGGCGGACTTACACACAGACTTAAAAACAGAGTGATGTCGCTAGATTATTCCTAATTTATACAAAATATATTTATTATTATATTTAAAAAACTTTTACTATCATATTACGGATATAATCATACATATGACAATATAATATAACAGCCTTGTAGACTGAAGAACTTACAATTTCATACCAGATGATCTAATAGGCAGATGGATATGGATGGTATTTGACCAAGAATTAGTTTCCAGAACTAGACTAAGATAAATTTTGAGCCCTTTAGCATTAAGCGTGTAATATTACGAGAAAGTTCTTGTATGTAAACAATTAGAAGTAATTTAGTATAAGATTATACCAATATACACTGTCTGTTGTAAGATAACCAGCTATTAAGCTACACCCATGTCAACTGTGGCTTTATCTTGCTATACACTCGCAAGAATTAAAATCGTTGTAAATAAAGATATTCTCCGCTGTTCATTTTTTAAAGATTTTTTAAAGCTTTTTTAATAATTATTATCATCGTGTCAACTCATTAAAGTCCCGCTATTGGAAACAGTCCCTCCTCAGAAAAAAAATCAGCTTACATTACCACACCTGCCAGGTATTGCTACGTTGTTATTATGACTATAATTCTCATGTTTAAGTGTACTATGTTTCTTTTCAATAATAGCGTCTTGTGCTACCTTATAGATCAAGTGATTGTTACACTGTTGTGACAATATACTTTGTGACCAAAGAGAGAGAGAAATAAACTAAATCACCTGCAAATATTAATGTTAAATTTATAAATACATACATCAATTGTTGAATGTAGCAAATATGTAGAAATTTTAAATATATAAATTTAACCATTCTTTGCTTAATAGGGGAAATTTCCATCATAAAATTGAATGCCCAAAAATTATATAAAAGAACAAGTTCACTTTAAGTTGAAGGTATCCAACGTTTTTTATGTCCATTGTAGAAAAAAAAAACATAGATGTCAAATTTAATTTTTTAACCGTTTTTCCTTTAATTTTGAAAATGAATTATATCACTGATTTATTTCACTAATAAAAAAAAATCATGCAAAGAAGAGTTAATTAGTATTAGTAATTATAATTCAAATGTAGGTATGTAAGTATGTAATAACATTATAAAATATGTATTTTATAATAATTCAAATAAAATAAATAATTAGTACCTAGGTACATCACTTATTATTCAAGTTGATCAATTTTAAAAAGAAATATTTACGTTTATGTAAACTTTGGCATGTATCAGATACTGTTCAGGAATCATTAAAAACATATAAAATATATTAATAACATGAGGATAACAGGAATGTCAGAAGCGAGTTTAATAACGTCCCAAGAGAACAGTATTTCGTGAAGGATTTTAATAATCAGAATTATATTAAATGCCGAGAATAGAATCAGTTTTAAGGAAATAACACGGCCCTTAAATTAAACATACTAATCGTTTGATGCAAATCAAGTAAAGACTTCTAATGTGAAATTTTCCCTTACTTTTGCCTCTAGCAGTGCCTAATAAAAACTTTACTTTGAAACGTTCGTTTAGCTTAAACGGAGTTTCGATCATTACTTCGAATTTTGCTAATATAGTGGCAATGATATAACTCAGAATGGAATGGAGATGATTCAGTCTAATTTAGAAAAGTTCGTGTTCTAAATTTGGAATATTGAAAAACAAATTTGTAATCTTTGTTCTAAGCGACTTAATACATATTTTGCAATATTCAGTTCCTGTTAGTGAAGCTCAACATTTTTGCAAAAGAAATATGCAATGAAAAACGACAAAAGAATTTTAATATTCACGTACTAACTTTCACGTTAGTTCTTAGGTTAATACGGAAAATTTAGATCTATCACATTTTGTGTCTTTTTTATTTTACAACATAGGGGGAAAACGAGGGTACCTGATGATAAGTAACTACTGCCGTCCATACGCACTCATCAGACATTAGAGAAACTGTAGGTGTTGCCGCCAGCCTTTTAGGGAGGATTATGACCTTTCCTTGAAAATTTTAAGGTTAATTGTCGTTTTTAGAACAGATCCAATCGTTAGTAGAACACTTTATAGTTAGGCTTAATATGATAACAATCATTTCGATTTCACCCTGCAGACATTCAAGAATACGTTGAAATACAGTATTAGTTATTAGTAGTAGAATTAAATGTACATTATTTTAGTAATCCTCGTCATATGCGATGTCAAATAAAGAGATGTGTATGAATGACTTCTGTTTACGTTACATACATAAATAAGACACTATTACAAAACTTAGTGATAGTGATTTTAAATTAAAATATTCTGTTTGGCATCCTTAGTAAACTATAATTTATTACATTTTAACGCTAAAAAATTTACCTAGTCATCATAAAATTTAGTATACATGTACTAATTAGGATTGAGATGGACAGAAGCTACATTTTATCCCAATCATTATATCTCGGTCACGCGGTCGAAGTCGCGGGTCACAAATAAAACTAGTAAATAAATACGGCAAACGTTTCTGGATAATCTGAAAGAGAAGTTTTCGGTATACATTCTTTTCTATTTATGCTCTATTTACCACTACATAAATAGGAGCCTTAGTTGTGTCGACGGTTCTCAATAGGTTTATATGGTACATTAGATCGGTACGAGTACGTAGCTAACAAAATATAGAATTTATGATACAATTTCTTACGTCCTAGTTTTGTATCTCCAACAGCCGTTTTTCGATCGTAATCGTAGCATATTCGTACTCATATATAAAATATATTGGATAAGTTTTTTGGCACGGAAATTAGCCCTAGCAACAACCATATATGTATACTTTATATATGGTACTTTATATATTTTTATTAATATAAGTGTTCTCGTAAAGTAATATAGATAGAGAATAAAGATTTTTTTTTTTATTTTGTAAGTACCTAAAGAAATACCTAACTGAATTTAAAAAGTTGCATTTAAGAAGATCATTCAAGCGATGAAATTCATTGAAGTGAGTAGTTTATAATAGTACCTTTTCAAAAGGAAAAGGAAATATTTTTTAAGCTGTAATGTACTTTCATATTCGGTAGTTCGGTTATCTGTCAAAACATCAAACATTAAAACTATAAAGATTTCTATTTCACATCCGAACATAATAAAGCAATTTTGACATAATCCGTACAATGTATCTTAAAGTATTAAATATGCACCGAAGAAATGTCAATTTAACGTAAGAGTAGCTTAATGCAAATTCTAGTCGTGCGTTTTAATACATCATATATCATGAAACTTTGTTTCAAATGCTCGTCAAGTTCTAGTTATGGAATTTAAATGAAATATTACAAAGTTGAATTTCTAGGTAGGTCAAAGCACCAATCGTCTTCAAACATCTTAAAAAATCTATCCCGTTTTAACAAACATGTTAAATTTTTTAAGCCGGATTCCCGACTAGCACATATATTATTTTAAATCCATTTTCAATGTACATAAAATACATTTATTTCACCAGTCTCTAGGGTCCTCACAACATCAGGCATTACTACATTTGAAATAGTACCTTCAATTTAATTTGTGTGCATATTTAATAATTATTTTTCATTATCTAATCATTAAACTAAACCTTTCAAATCAAACTGAAGAACTTCACAACAGTAGCCAGCGGTAAAATAAAAGAAATATAAATAAAATTTTATATTCCACGTTTGCGTACACAGTGATTTTGACAATCTGCTTTGCTTGTGAATCTGTTTTCGTTGCCACCACATCCGGAATAGAACATCGGCATACATTCCCTTCTGACAATATCGTAGAACCAAACGAAGAACATTCGGTCACAAGGACCCTTCGAGGGCACCTGGTAGCAATAGTACGGTATGTTCATTAGATTAGACGGGAAAGGCCCGTCAACTGGACCTGAAATTCAATTAGTGTGATGTATGAGATGAGGTTCATATAGACAAAGTATACAGGTATTGGTGAAAATGTATAATTTTAAAGGAAGATATAAGTGAATTACAAGTATCCAATAACATATTTGATTAAGTGCACACATACTCAAATATGTACGGAACTAAATTAAGCTATTAGCTCGTTATGGCAATAACAACCAATTGAATTAAAAATTTTAACCTACTAAACCATATTATTGTTATTATTCCAAAATTCACATCCGATTTTTGATGGACTCTTATCTTCTCTATCTTTATATAATAAATAATAATCAAAGAGATTAAATAGTAAAAAAAAAAAACAAAAAAAAAAAAAAAAGATTTTTGATGGACAAAAAGATAATAATTTTTTGTACTCGTCTTTTACCAAGTTTATTATTATCATCATAACAACATAATCACCCCTTTACTCATAACTAAAACCTACAAATATTAAAATGTTCAATAACTAAAATAGGTTTGACGTTTTTATGAATAAGGGAGGTAATTCTATATTTTTTAAATCTCATTAATATATTTGTTTACTGAAGAATAGATGTACATCTCTGAGATTCCACACAATCTTTAGTATCAACCAATTAATATAAATTTCAAATACAATATACTTTAGAATTCCAACTTGAATTTAATATTATTTAAATACGGTATTTTAACAGGCTTATACCCTAATAAAATTAAAATGGCATAAACAGGGCGCGAAATTGCATAATTCTAATATAATGTATTCCCTATTTTCGTTAAACTTTACAATTCCTACTTAAATTTTGATGGACAGCTGGCAGCTACAGTAACCGCGCTTTATGAGAAAATTTTGAAATTAATCAAAATATGACATAAAAACAGCAAATTTTATACTTTAAGTAACCGAATTAAAGTTTGATATAAACGTAAACGTGCAAAGTTACTGATCTACGATAAACTCTAAAATCTTATTTAATTTTTTCACCTCGAATATTACGTAAATATTTCTTTCATTTTTTAAATGTTTGCATTTTATTTCCATTGCCATGAATATTTGCGATTATTTTTGTTACTATGAGCGTGTAGGTTGGAAGTTTAGTATTTATTTGTATGTTCAGAAATGTAGGAACTTCTGAACAAATTAGAAGAAAAGCTAAGACGTCGCCAATAGAAAGATAAATATTTTTTTTATACCATAAAGGTGGCAAACCTGCATAAAGCCTGTCTGATGGTAAACGATGACTGTGGCCTATGGACGCCTGCAACATTAGGTGTCGCGTGCACGTTGGTGACCCTGAAGAAACCTTAATAAAACCTTTTTGAAGAACCCTTAAATATTCATTTAATTATTTATTATTATAAATTTAATCTTCCCTTCTATAACACTAAAGGTTAATTAGTATGTTTTTGATTATTCATAGTAGTATTTAATTTACATGTGAATATTCTTTATATAGTGGAAGTTAATAAAAGTAATACCATAAAGAAAGTAAGCATTGAACTAGAAAAAACTTATCGAATTATAAGAACTCTATCAGCCTTCGACGTTTAGCATTTTCACCTAATTTTATGGTTATGAAATTAAAAAAATACAAATAAATACTATACTATATTGGACACAAAATACTAGAATATAATTTAGATGTCACATGTCACTTACGTCCATCTTTAACATAATCATGTAAATGCCTGAAAGGTACATATGCCGCTTGTACAGTTATGAAGACAAATAATAAAAAGTGCGCACATACGCTCATTGTGGAATTTGATCTTTCAATATCTCACAAACGAAGCGGGATTGCAATAAAAAACAATCAATCGCAATATTGGTATGGAGATTTTATTGCCTACATCTGTATGAATTATAGATAACGCAATGACTACTGCGTTATTTCATTCGCAATTTGACACGAAAGATGCCTGGGTATTGCCTACATTATATAGAGTGAAATCAAAATCATTAGAGGTATGTAAAACTATTAATCTAGCTATACTATAAAATATATTAAGAGAGAATTTTTGTGAATCACAAATTGGAATTTGACAAAAAATTTCGAGTCTTCCATACTAACTTTACAGCTGAACGTGCCGTGTTTGTATGGAAGACTAAAATTGTTTGTCATTTTTCGACTCGTTTTTCTTAGATGAAAATGTTCAGTTTTGTAGGTAGAATACACTTCAAAGGACACTATTTCGATATCATCCTGGAGTTGTTTACAAAAGAATGACGATTAAATATCTAATAGTGAATTTACTGTGACTTGTCAGTGTTATGTTGTTGTTGTATAAGAAATATTTAATCAAAACATTTCTCGGAACAAGTAAAACCTATTTTATGCACATTTTTTTTTTTAATTTAGGATTCACATTAATTTATATTCAAGAGACGTGGATGTTTTTTTTTCTACTTTAATACATCAATAGATTAATTACAAATACGTAATTCGAAATAAAATAGTAAAACCTGTTCGCTGACATTACGCTAAGTAAAAATGCACGAATAATTGAAAACTAAAATTAACCTTTAGAACAAATCTTATAAACCCAACAATAATATACATGTGTATTGTATTCTATACGTCTCATGAATGTGAAACACGGAAATGTTAATGGATTCTCGTTGAATACAACAAAGTTATAACTGTGCATCTAATCCCTTTATTAACATGAACACGGCAGCCCCTTAAGGAAATGTTCACACTGTTTAATCGATACCAATATTTGACATAAACTCGTGACAAATGCCAATTTTAATACTAAATTAAAATACAAAATTAAATAAAGAGCATTCTGAGTATCGGTTACAATTTATTGAAATAGAAAGCAGGTAACCAAATCATCATATTTTTATATAATCATTAATTATCCACTGCTGAAAATAGGCCTCCCAATTGTAGGGTTTTGCCCGTAGTTGCTATGCTTGGCGAAATGGTTAACCATTAAATTTCTTTAGTCGTCTCTAACGACGCCCATGGAAAGTGGTCAAAAGTGTGGCCCATTCTTTACCGGGACTATACGGTAACCAAAATACAACCATTAAAAAATATAATTACAATTAAACTAACAAGATAAATATAACTTCAGCTTTATATTACTAATATTTTTAATATATATGACTAGTAATGGCAAACAAGTTGACGTCTAATAGACGACATATTGAAAAGTAACTCTTGCTTACAAATAATTAAAGTGCAGGGACATAACAGAAAATACAATAGCGTTGGATCCACACTACATTCGTAATGCCAGTCTCGGTTAGCTCTCGGTCTTATCTTGGTATGGTCAGTAGGAACAACTCGAATGGTGACTGGAACGCAACGGAATTGGTCTGGAGTATGAAATGGATGCACTGTTTCTTACGTAATAATATTTTACCAGAGATCGGATTGTATTATAGTGTAGATGTTACCGTTGCTAAAGACTACAAATTTCTTGTGTTAAGTAATAAATGTTTTTGAATATCTAAATTACCTATAGTTGTTTCGATGATATCATTAGAATGGCATTGTCATTATATCACTGCATATAAAAGAAAGTGCACTAACAATTTTTTTTTTTATACCACAGCTAGCAAACAAACACGGCCCACCTGATCGTAAGTGGTTACCGTAGCCTATGAACGCCTGCAATACCAGGGGTATAACGCACACATTGCAGACCCTGAAGAAAACACTTTACCCTTTTTTTGATAAACCCCATGGTGTCTTTTGGAAAAACCTTGCTCATTCCATTACCTGAGCGTTCGTGGGAGAAAACATCTCTGAAATCGCATTGTACGCGACCATCTAGACTTTGAGGTATGAGAGCGAACTCCCTGTCAATAGTGAGCTGTACAATGGTAGAAAGTGGTCATGGGCATCATATTGAATATACCGTATATAATCATTAGTGAACCATGTATGTATGTAATATTAAACGTCATTTAATATTACAACTAGAAACAATCACAATAGGGCCTTATGCGCATAATTACTTCATGAATAAACCGTCTCCACCCCCCCCCCCACTCCATAAGAACCTTCCTTGCTTAGAATTGCTCCAATATGCTCTCTTTGGCATTTTTACTTTAACTTGTCACTCCATCTCGTACACTTGTGTGTTTGCCTGTACGGAATCACCACTTAAAGACCTTTTCTTTCCGATTGGTTTATCAGTTATTCGAAGTAAGATGCCCACTGCTAGTTCAGCTTGCGGATTCTTCGGATTATAACGATCACTTTAGTTCTTTTAAGGATATTCTAATTTCGGAATGTATGATTCAGTGAAATTAACTACTAGTTGTAGCACACAGCCCTATCGCTCAGTAGAACGTCTTTGAGCATGCTGATACGGCTCCTGTATGAGCAACCTTCATCATGTGTACCTACACAAGACGAGACTTGCTCATTAAACACGTGAAAGAGATCCCTCTTTCTTGTATTTTTCAAAAGAAGTCTATTAATTTATTCGTACCATTAACCCATTAAATTTTTCCTTGTAAGGTTATATAAAATAATTGTAGTTTTTTTTTTTTTAAAATAATTGTTCACTTTATTATTTGCTTCTAATGAATATTGGTGTAATTTTATTTTTATTCATATCTACCACCAATCAATGGGTATTCTAAATTCTCATTTCATGCTTGAAAAATAAAGTTTATTTCCCTGGAATCGTTTCTTAAACCAAATGCAATCTTTCTACTGTTCTGTCCGTTTCACATTTTACGAGACGGTTGATAAATGCTAATAAAGATAACAAAACTGAAGTACACGTTGAGCAGCTGAAATAGGGCTTTATTTTGGCATGGAAGATGGGTTATCTTAGTAACAAATGAATGAATGTTCTCTTGACGCAGTAGGAGAGTGAAAAATCGATGTTAGAGCACGAAGCTAGATTTATGATGCCTCAATATCAGATATACACAGCGATAGATGCAGATGTCAGAAAACATTCATTATAATAATTACTATGAGTTTTACAAAATTTATTTGAAATCAATATACAAATATAGGTAAAATATATAAACACAGTTTATTTTGAAAACACAAAGTTATTTGTACTTACCAGAATTAACTTAAAACAAATATTTATAAATTTTTTATCTGTTCATAATAAAAAAAATTATAATAGTAAATTTAAAAAAAGAAGTTTAAAAATTTATGAATGTATCGTATGGATATGGAACCAAAAGTAATCGATCGCAGAATATTGTTGTTCTCAAGACAAACTTTGAATTTTGTTTTCCTAAAGTTGTTTATTTTGAAGGCGCATCTTTTGATAAAACTTTCGACAGAAGTAAGACGTGATATGAATTGTTATTATCTGTATATAGCATGGTAGTTCCAGAATATATATTTTGATTAAAACCCGACTCAATCGAGATGGTATGCTCTTAGCTGTTTCATGATAATCGCGTTAATCCATTCCACGATCAGTCGTTAAAAATTCTCTTAGAAGTATATAATTACTTCTAATCAAGATTACCTCTTTAAAAATTAAATCTGTTGTGATTTCTTTTAATATATTATTTATTACAATTTATAATTATTGCACACATTTCGAAGTACTGTCTTATATAAAATTAGAATATGAAAAAAGAATTATCAGGAGGCTCTATTACGATTTTATATACAACCAACACATATATAATAACATTTACTTATGATTGAGGATTGTTAATTATTAAATTGTATATTGTTGCATTGCATATTGTATATTAATTGTAATTAATATTGCATATTATTGATTATAGAAACATTTTGAGATGAAATTTAAAAAATTTCGACTTTATTGAAATATTTTACTCGTTGTCTTTAATTTCTAAAGTAAAAAAACCTTCAGAAGACCTTATCCATTACAATTTGTTTTCTTATGACTAATATTATAAATGTGAATGTTACTTTGTTTGCTTGTTACTTCTTGACGCATTAATGCCTCCAATAAATCATTGAAATGGCTAATATTTATTGCGATCAAACAATATAATCCCAGTCATGCGGACGAAGTAGTCAGTTAAGTTTTTTTACTTAAAGTATACACTGCACTATGAGATATATAAAACTTTATTGAGGTCCTATAACTTAATAATAAAATAATAACCGTAATAAAACCCTTATGCGAATCGTTGATTCTCTAAGGGTAGTGAAATTATGTTCAAGATCATGAATAATTAATTAGTATTAAAGGTCTATGTAATTGGATACATTTGATTTCAATTACAGTAATAGAGGACCGAAACGTTAAAATCACGAAAGGACGTCCTTCCGTGTAGAGCTGTTGAGCCATATATTGAATATGACGTTTATATAACTGTTAGAATTTTAAAATGTTCAAATCTAATTGGTTTGTTACTAATTAGATTTAAACATTGTACACACTTTATTTCCAAAAACTACGTATCGTATGCTTTACTTTTTTATCGTAATATTAAGACGGATTATTTCTTCATGGAGATTTGTTAAGAAGAACAAAAGCCTCGTTCTTTCGTTCTTCTTAACAAATCTTCAAAAATATTTATTATTATTATGAAAAATATATACTTATAACAGCCATAAATTCTATACTTAATCGGTCCTCGTTACCCCAAAAATATAATATTTGAATGATAGCGATATTTTGGCTCGTATTCGTAAAAGTTTTTATCATCTGTTTTCCCCGTTCCATCATTTTACTATTTTCTATTATGGTGAGGGTATATCAAAAAGGACATGTAAAAACTGTCTGGGAAAACAAATTGATCTGACGCGAACACAATCATTGTGGAATTGTTTGCGCGCAGTCATCTAAAATACGAAAGGAAATAAAGATGCCAAGGTAATCCCCAATTGTGATATCTGGGTCAATATGTCAAATGGTGAAGCAGTTTGTTTCGTTTTATTTTGGTAGCAATATATAGTCTAAATAAAATATGATATTTTAATTAAAATGTGGTTACTGATGTGATAGTAGCAAATGATGTCCATATTCCGGTATAAACCCATGAGACCTGTGGTCAGCGTACCGTCGTCACTAAGATTAGTTTGTAAACGGCGTTTTCAATCACCGATGTTAGTCCAAAATTAACAATAATTTTTTTGCTGTCGAACTGATTTCTCAGAACTCAGAAACTTGAATAAGAATTTGTTAGTATACAGACTGGTCAAGATAAAAAATAAAAATACGTCAAGCGGTAGTATATATATCATAGCACAAGCCAGTCACATAAAAATAAACTATATTAATATTACTATCTTAAGTAAATAAATTCATATATTAATATCTATAAATACATTTATTTTCGGCAAACCTAATTGTTTCTTGTCACTTCAAGCCATAAAAAATACTCATATAGGTTCCTTTTAATGTAATTTCGAAGTATCTGACAAAAGGAATCCATTTATTTTAATACTAATCCATTGTTCCCTCCAAAAATGACAGTTTGAAATAATTTAAAGAGGATTACGGCATTATTGGTAGCCTCTGATTCCATTAAACATTGTGGGCCCATAGATAGACCTTCATAATCTTTAAATTAACTTGGAGCAATTAAAAGGGCCAGAACCAGAAGGGCTTTATTAGAAATTAGAAATCACACTGAGAT